GACATTTTGAAATGATCGCCCTTAAAATTCAGATCTGGGCAACTCAGTATTGTTGATTATAGTCTTTTTGTTTGTTTGTTTTTGGTGCCAGGAATCAAACTCAGGACCTTGCACTTGCCAGGGGGGCCCTTAAGCCGCTGAGCTATCTCCCTGGCTTCAGTACTGTTGAAGTGATAGGGAAATTTATGTTGACTATCAGAAGAACCAGAGGTAGGTTTGGCTCCAAGAATGCCATGGCAAGTTTGTCTTTTCTTGGAGCTCTGTGTGACCCCATCCAGCGGCTCCATCTTCCGTGTGGATGGCTGAAGCTGCAGGGTCATAGCCAGGCCCTGAAATAGTTGAAGGCTGAAAGGGACCATTCTTTCCCCATGTCTCCTTTTTTAAGGAACAGTGAACTCTTTCTCAGAAATATGATAGTAGAGGTTTCTTCACAATCCATTTACCAGAATTCGGTTTCACTCCATGAAAGAGATCTCCAATTGTTTCTGAATATTTATTTCTTCCATCTTTCTCAGTGTGTGTGTGTGTGTGTGTGTGTGTGTGTGTGTGTTTGAGACAGGGTCTCATTGTGCAGTTTAGACTGGCCTTGAGCTCATTTTGTAGCTTAGGCTGGTCTTGAACTAACAATGATCCTCCTGCCTCAAGCTCCTGAGTGCTTGGATTACAGGTGTGCGCCACCATGGCTGGCCCTCTCAGTGATTCTGTCCTTTTATCTGATGCTATCATTGCCTGGGTATATTTCCTTAATCCTATATTTGGCAAATAACTAAATTGTGGAACTTCTGGGAAATATCCTTAAAGGAAAGGCATGAGTTTCCTTTTATCCCTCTCTTCTAGTTTGGTGTGTAGAATGCAAATCTGATGGCTGAAGCTTTTGCAGTCATTTTGGTTTATACCATGTGGATAAGGTATAAACAAGGTCTAGTAGAACAAAAAATGGAAAAGAACGTATGTCCTGATAAGTTCAGGAGCTTGCCCTATGAGCTTTGGACTACTTTCTTCCAAATAGGTGAGAAAATAAAACCTGTGTATTTTATTTACTGTTAATTTGAGTGTTCATTAACTCTGGTGAACCTAGTTCTAACCAATGCATGTGGCCATTCTCAAATCAGTGCTGCAGTCTACTGCCCCAGGGTTTGTGACCTTATAGGACAGTTTTTTTTTTAAATAAAGAAAAGACAGTTCTGTCTTCTGTAGAACTGAAGAATACCTCAGCAGCATAATTCTATTAGCCCTTCATAGAATTGAAGCCAAAACATTTTTGGCTTTACCAGTCTCTTTTCTAATCTCTAAACTTCAGTCACTTGGATAGCAGCAGCATTACTCTGGCCACTCCTTCTGCTAGGTTGGCCATTATGCCTCACCTTTGTCTTTTTAATTTAAATTTCCTTTGAAGAGGATTTTCATATCATTGCTTGTCTGTAAAATCAGGGCTACTTGATAAAAAAATAGAAGTTATCTGCAAAAATATTAAGGGAAATTTGGTGAACATTTAAAATAAGCAGGTGAGGCTATTTCTGTGTGACAACAGCAAAAGATTCATTTGATTGGAAATGCTAGTTGTAGTATTGCCTCCTGGAATCAGTGCTGTCCTAGTTATTTTCTGAGGCCAAACACCCAACATTCACAAATTACTTTAGTTCACAGGTTGTAGTGGTTTCTGGCTGTAGTTGTCTGTTCCAAGGCAAGGCAGCATGGCTCAGTGGCATTAAGGAGGAGAAAGTTCATGGTGTGGTAGGCAGGAGGCGACAAGCAGTGAGTCTCCCTTTGCCTTCTTGTTCCTTCCAGGACACAAGTCTATTGGTTGGTACCACCCACAACCAGGGTGGGCCTTCCCACCATCTGTACCCAGAAGCATGCTAAACCAATAGGTGGACAGGATGTGAACTCTGAAGGGCTTGGGTGGCTCTGATCCTGTGGCACTGCTGATGATTGGAGCCGTCTCCGTGGCCAGCTTTGTTCACTCCCTGCAGTTTTCCTCAGATGAAGCATGTTCCTCGTTTCCTTGGCCTTCTGAGGTCCCTGCTGCACCTCTGGTTTCACACTCACAGCTTCACATACTGTCCTCTCAGGGGTACACTGCCTGGTCTCCCAGGTCTTCTTTTGAAATCTGGGTGGAGGCCTTTCTTATCCCATATCGCTTACATTCTGCCTACATCAAAACCCAGCACCATGCAGGTGATGCCAAGGTCTGCTGCCAAAGAGAACAATAGCCAGACTTTCCCCTTGCTGGTAGGTGCTAAGTATCTGGATCGCTGAGTGCTGTGAACCCAATCCTGGGGAACAAGCTCCCCATGCTGCCACCATTCTGGAGTTTGGTGTTCTGGGGCTCTCTTCTCAAAGCAGTCTTTCACCTTTGCAATTTTGAGGCTCTAATGGTGGAGTCCTCCTAGTTCTTACAACACTCAGGTCATCTTTTCTATTGTCCTCTTCCAAAAATACTTGGCTTTTTATTGCTAATACTTTCAGCAGCCAAGTTCTCTTCTGTTCCATCTTTGTAGGGGCAACTTTACTGGACTTTGCTTTCTTGGTGAACTTAAAATGTTTCAAATCATTCTGCTTTCCTCTTTGTTCTTGATTCTCACCTAGATCTGGCTAAAAGCTCCCAACAGTAGCCATACCACTGTCTCAACATTAGACTGCCTTAAAATTTCCTGTACCAGATTAATTAGGCTGCTGTCCTTAATCTCTGGCTCCTGCAATGTCCCATGACAGGTGCAAAATGCAGACCAATTTTCTGCCAGAGCAGAACACATGTGGTTGGGGGTCCAACTGCCAATGGAGTCCTCCTTCCCAACTGAAACCTCTTGAGCCTGCCCTTCTCTGGCTACGTTACAGTCAACAATCTGGTCTTCTGAGCTTCGACCAGGATCTCCCATCTAGCTCAGTTTACAGCATTCTAGAACTGCTTCTCCAGCTTCTTCTTCAAACTGTTCTAAACTCCTTCCACAAACCAGTTCCAAAGGCTTTTTTTTTCTTCTGTATTTAGTGAAGGGTCTACAGGGTCTCACTATGTAGATTGGACTCATAGTGATATTCCTGTTTTCAGCCTCCCAAGCACTGGGATTATAGGCACACGCCCCTGCCCCCAGTCTCTGTCGCCATCTCAGTGTCCCACTGGGATCGAACCCTGGCTGTTGTGCTCTGCCTAAGCAGGCGCTTTAGTCAGCTGAGATATCAGGCTGGCCCAATCTGTTATTTTCTTGCTGCTGGGACAAAACACCTGACACAAATTAGAAGAGGAAGAGCTTATTTTTAGTTCATAGGTTGTAGAAGTTTTCATCCATAGTCAGCTGTTTCAAAGGCAGGGTAGCATCGCAGAGGGGCCTGGCAGGGGAGAAAGAGTCCATGGCAGGGTAGGCAGGAGGCAGCAGGCAGGAGGCAGCAAGCAGCAGCAGGGACCTTTTCTTTTCTTTTTATTTTATTCAGACTACAAGCCTATTGGTTGGTGCCACTGGGTCACACCCATGGGGGACCTTCCTGTGTCCATACCCAGAAGCATTCTAACCCAGTCGGTGGTCTTAATCCAGTCAGGAAACCCTTAATCCATTATTACAGCCTCATGATCCAGCCACCTCCCAGAAGGCCCACCTAGGAGTGCATGAAGTCTTAGGAGGACATCTAGGTATAAACCACAACAAGAGGCTCGCCTTTTATTCACAGCAAATGTTAGCATTAGTTTCTCTTAAATCTCTGTGCAAATTACAAGTGGGAACATTTCCCTGTGCACATGGCAGCGAGTAGCTGAGCTCTCCCTGAAAGCACCCACTGTCTCCCTTGGAGAAACATATGTCCAGGGAACTCCAGGCCTTCTTTTATGTTTTGTTTTGGGTAGTTTTCAAACCAGAGCAAGGCTAAGGCGTCTGGGACTCTGGATTACATGCTTTATCCAAGTTTAGACTGGAGACCAGGAGTCTGCACGGTAAAAAGTGCCGTGGGTAACAGCAATCCAGAAAGCTTTCACACTAAACTTTAAGAAGCAGGTGAAAGGGCTTTCTTTAGTCTGTTGCTGTATTCATTGTTCTTCCAGAACTATGAGCATTGTGGTTCCTAATTTTGTGAACCTCTGCAAGGGGCTGAGAGCCTGGCCCAAGGCTCAAGATTCAACTTTCATCCAGCAAGAGAGTGTATGATTGTCCACGGAGGTGTCCTAGGAATGCCAGTCTACAAGTGAAGGGCTGGGGAGGTCACGGTGGGCGGTGGCTGTGCGGAGACTTTATGAAGTCAGGCTGGGAGGACCTGGGGATTTCCCAGGAGGAAGGAGGAGGGAATCTCGAACTATGCAGCTGCGGGCAGGGAGCCCGAGATAGGCCGGGCTGGGTGAAGACAGTGGCTTTATCCTGGGGCTATGAGCTGTTACTGTAGGGCTTCTACATAGAGGGCAGCTCCGTCTTAGGGAGACAGTAACGTGGGGCTCACGACACCCCGGATCTGACAGGGCACCCAGTAAGCTTGGCAGTGTTGTGGTGAGCCAAGAAAGATTAGAGGAAGGGAGGTCACCGCTGACCACACTGCAGGGAAGGCACGGGACGGTGCCAAGGAGATAGGTGCCCCTGGGGAGACCAGAGCACTCAGGCTGAGGAGTCTCCCAAGACTTCAGCTTCCTCCAGGCGGTGTGGGGGCGAACAGGCGCTGGGCCCCGTCTGTGTTGAGCTGTGAGCCCTTATTCGGTCTCAAAACGCTCACGTTCCTCACAGGTTTCCCTAAACAGCACAGAACACGGCCGCCTGGGCCGGGTGGGAAAGGCAGGGGTCTTCCTTGCTGCGGCGACGGTGCCGACCTCCCCTCGGGGGACCCAGCCCTCCAGGCAGCCGCTCGGTTTGCACCGGGGCACCCAGTGCGATCGCCGCCGGCGAGAGTTCACCCCCTCCCCCGCGTGGAGCCACCTTTGCGGACGACGGTCTCATCCCCACCCCGTGACCCTCCCAGCCCGGTGCTCGCGTCCGCTTCCCTCCGGCGGGCGCAGAACCGAAAGCGCGCAGGCGGGGAGGAGACGGAGGCGGCCGCCGGGCCGGGCGATGGCGCTGCGCCTGGTGCCCGACTTCGACCCAGCCGAGGACGCGCTCCCGGCGCTGCGGGCCGCGAGAGGCTGCGGCG